CATGAAAAATATGATCATGTGACCAAAAATAGTAAAATATTTTCTATGAAAAAAATATCAATCAAATGGTAAAAAGAAAAAAAATAGGAATTTTGTGAAAAAAAAAACATTTTTCATGGAAAATATTGACAATCAAACACATTCTAAAATATAGGTTCAACTCAACCAACTATTTTCCCCGGTTGAGATTGTCCGTCTTGGTTCTTGATTTAATGGTCGAATACCAGTGACAGGCATAGCGTTACATATGTATTTTGAATTCAAATGATCAAAGTCATCAAACATTCGTTTTAACAAAAGAGATTGTGAAAAAGAATATGACGTATTTGATATGTTAAATTGGATAAAATTGAACACGATGACTAACATATTATTGATATTTGAAGCCCCCGTTTACCATTAATTTGAATTATACTGGGAGGAATAGCGTTTTTTTGAAAAATGAGTGATTGTAAAAGAATGAAAAGTTTTCAACTTACATGTAATATTATTTTATTGAAAATTGTGTGGTTGAAAATAGGAGAGAGAAAATTTAATTTAAATTGATGAGAATTAAAGGGGCAAATGGGGGCGAATTATGTATCAACGCCTCAGATTCAAACGTGCTACTCACGCACCTTCCCAAGCGCGTCGTTTTCTAGAAGGCATAGCTATAACCAACATTGCGCATTTAATGCAGCTGCCGTACGTGCCTTAGAAGTTGAAACGGTTCAACTGCCTTTTCTCGGTAACATGCACAAAACATCAAATCATTGGCACGCCCATCGAACACAATCATATCTTCACAAACATCGGCAAGTTCGATCCATTCACCGCCTCGACATCTTCCTCGCAATTCAGCCACATCTTCATAAGCCTCAACATGTTCGATCCACTCACTGCCTCGGGTTCTTCTTCGCAACTCAGCCACATCTCCATAAGCCTCGGCAGGTTCAATCCACTCACCGCCTCTTCTTCTTCTTCTTCTTCTTCTTCTTCACAATTTAGCCCATCTTCACTGCCTCGGCTTCTTCGTCACCCCTTTTCTTTCGCAGCAACACCATAACAGCAAACTTCACCTATTAATTCGAACACGGTAGTAGACTTTCAACTCCAACCATGACATAAATATCTATACTTGGACTTGGAGAACTATTATTTAATGTACAATTTATTTTTTCAATTGTTACCCAACACACTGGCTTTACCACATTAAAATCCACGCATTACATAAATGACCATACTTGGACTTGGAGAACTATCGTTACATATTGACACACTTGACCGATCCATTGGGGCCCATAGCTCACTCATGCTGGACCACATGACATCCTAGTCGAGGCTCCCAGGCCAACAGAAGTCAATCAGCATACCGAAACAACACCCATGACGTGGCCTAAATATTAACGCCTAAGTGACTAGGCCTAGATGTTCTGTCTTTGCCGAGGTGCATTACGCCGAGGCCCTTCATATCAAGGCCCAAATGCCCTAAGCAGCACTCCTCCCTAAAGATCCGATCTTACACAAGGGTCCTTCCTGATTGATTGATGGGACACCCATCATAAAGTACAAGTGTCTTGTCTTGTCTTGTCAAAGTAGCGGCAGAGCAGGCGATTAATAAATGTGTAGCAAGTTAGGAAGTTAAGTGTGATGTCTATAATTTGACATATAAATTTACGAGATGAGGCCACGTGTACTCCCAACCGAGGGCCATGATCTAACTTGTAATAATACTCCCCCATGCATCTTTCACGAGATAATGCAAGATTCAATACAAGAACTAAGATTACATGTTCTTTGCTCTCTTAACCCACTTTATACAACGACCTTTTTACCATTTCTAATATTAATCAATTTCAAAGAAATTTTTATCCCACATGGGAAGTTCTCAACAAAGTCATTGGAGTTGCCATCTATAAATTTATGGTTCAATAAGTGGTTAAACAATTTTTTGGGCCTTTCAACTCAATTAGCAAAAAGTTAAAAAAATATAATTATTAAGTAAATAATAATAATAATAATAATAATAATAATAATAATAATAAATAAATAATTTTTTTTTACTACATCTCACACCTACGCGTCTATTTAAAACATTGATTTTTGTCAATTGTAATCATAGACATTTACCAACGAAAAGTCGGTTGGTAATGATTAAGATTTTTACCAATGAAAATTTCGTTGGTAAAAGGTTTATTCTTTACCAACTGAAAATTCATCGGTAAAAAGATTTATTCTTTACCTATGGTGCGATCTGTTGATAACTATCAGTGACCCCCAAATTAACAACGGATTTGTGATTTCTAATATTTCATTAGTAAAGAATAATAACAACGAATATCGTGATTTCAAAAATGAAAAATCCGTACCTAAAGTCATTTTTTTGTAGCGATCGAACCGAGCGATTTTTCTTAATTTAAATACCTAAACGAGTATTTGAATCGAGAATCGATTGATTTGGTTAAATTTTTAGTTCTAGACCAAAAATCAAATAACCAAATAAGAACGGAATATTTCTCTTAAATAAATCAAATTATTTTATTTTTTTAAAACAATTTTGTTAACTAATTAATTTAGTCTAAATCCAAAATATGATTATCCTATTTATAATTTCAGCCCAAGCTCAATTTAGTCAAATTGATCTAAGTTTTAACCAAATCAAATTGAAAGCTCGAGTACACCTCTCTTCATTATTATGAGTTCACTATCTTCCTTTTTCTATGATTATAATAGCGAAATTTATGAAGAACTCAACAGAGAGATAAGCAAAAAATATCACGAAATTCGATTACGTTATTTTGTAAGAGTTAAAATTGAACACATCATTAGTTAAATTAATGTAGTGTTGTTATACAGAATGTAACCAAACAGAGCCAAATCGAATCAGATGGAACGAAATTGAGCTCGAACAGTTCTATAATTAAATTTGAATACAATGTTTATACATACAAAATACTCAAAAATTCGGGTTCGAATTGATTCTCTTTAAAATCGAACCAAACTTGACCATGTTTAGCCCTAAGCATGAACAAAATTGAAGAAAAAATACATAGACTCCATTCTCAATAGAAATTTGAGATAATCGTGTATACAACTTCTAAAGCATACTAAAATTCAAATGCCTAGTTGAACAGTATTACACTTTAGCCCATATTTAATGATCATTGGGGGAAAAAAAATAAAAAAAAGTTTTGAATGGTGATTTTTAAGAAAATATGCAGTTAAAAAGTAAGAAAATGTTTTAGATTTACGTGCAAAATATTTTGCCCCTATATAGGCTCCATTAAATTTGAAATGTATTTTTCTCTTTATTTTTCTAATTATATATTATTCAATAAAATAATATTACACGTAATCTCAAAACATTTCTTTTTTTTAATCTTATTTTTTAATCATACATTTAAAAAAAAATACAGTTATAAAATACTTTTTTTCCCCAAAAAATGAAGCTCAAACAAGGATTTTATTGTGAGAATATGTGATAGAAAATAAGTATGTAAAAA